TGTGTGTGTGTGTGTGAGTGTGTGTGTGTGTGTTTGGTTGTTCTGTTATTATTTTTTCTTTTTCCAATTTGAAAGGTACTTCATTTTTTTAGATGCATTTATTTGCATAGAAGTGAGATTTAACAAAGGTTAATATGAAACATTAAAAAGGCCTTTAAAAGGTGTCCTAACATTCTATAAAATATAATGATTAGTTACATTTCTGAGAAAATGTCACTTCTTACTGGATTTTTTATATTCCATTAATTCCTGAAATGTGCTTTTGTTGGTATCTCTTGCTGTAAACCTGAAGTATAAAATACGAAATACTGTAATTTGTTTTTTTTAAATTCATTAACCTAAATTTTTACATATCAATCTTTCAGACAGCTAAGTTATTTCAAAATTATTCTTGTTAGCTAAAATTGGATCCTCTTAATACTTCTCTTTTATTTACCATGTGACTTTAAGAAGACAGCAGATAGACTTAGCATCTTAATTTTTTTCTTTACATTTTAATGTTCAAGTCAGGTAACAGTATGTGTGAGCCACTTGATTTTTCACACAGTAAAAAAATAGGTTTTATTGCTCTTTCTAATGAGATTGTAGAATTTTTTCCTTCATGTTTTCTATCCCTAGTTATATTAGACACACAAGAAAGCCAGGACGTCGGCATGACTGGTTTTCTCCCGCACCCTAACCCTTTCCAGCTCTGCGCTCCCTCAGGCCCCAGCTTCTGTTCTGTGACTTCGGGGCCCTTCCGCTGGGCCTCCGGGGGCTCACACCAGATGCCGACGGAATTCCTGTGTTCTCAGCCTCTGCCTTGAGCAAAGTTTCTGAACTTCTTCTGTCTCGGGCTTTCCCATGACAGTGCTGCCTTCTCCCGAGCCCTTTGACGTGCGGACTTTTTCTGCCGTATGCACCTTAACTAGGACTGAAGGTGGGATAGGGGACCTTGCTCCATATTGTTCTTTTCAGATTATTCTCCTTTATCTTCCTTAAAAACCCTTAGATTTGATTATCAAGCCGTATGATTATACCTTCTGCCACTTATGTTTGTTGTCCAACACCTATATCACTGCCTTGAATTTCTTGAAGATCTTGGCTCCTTGGTCACAGTGACTCAGTTGCTATGCTGTCATGATTCCCAGCAATTTCAGTGTTCATCCAGATTATTCTAACACCTTGGTATCTCAGTTCACTGACCTCTCTACCTCCAATCATCTTGCCGTGCCCCCCCATCTACACTAACAGTTATTTTGAAGACTTAGTCAATATCAGTTTCTTCATCCTCTTCATAATACCAATTTCATGTATCCTAACCTCTGCTATCCTGTCTTTCCAGCTCACTTCCTTTAATAACCCAACTTCAATAATTTTTAAATTCACACAAGACCTTAAAATCAGTTGATTTACCAATTTTTCATTTTCTTTAACACTCTTCTTTCTTTCTTTTTTATTTGAGAGAGAGAGAGACATGGATTTGTTGTTCCACTTAGTTATGCATTCATTGGTCGCTTCTTGTATGTGCCCTGACTAGAGATTGAATCCACAACCTTGGTGTTATGGCACAACTCTAACCAGCCGAGCTACCTAGGGGGGGCTCAACCCTCTTCCTAATCAACTTAGATTCCCTGCTTCATGAATGTAATCACTACATCGCATTAACTATCTTCAACTTACCTATCCTTCTTTTGTTATTGTACATGGTTGGGAAAACATTAGCTCTATTTAAATGCAAGCGTGTCAATGGGGGGGCGGGGGGGAGGGATACCTGTAATATTTTCAGCAATAAAAATTTTAAAAAAGAAAAAAAAAATCTCTCTCCACCCATGCAGCTAAATGAATGTGACTGGAACAAAACCCACCAATACACTGTGTCTCATTTTAAATCTAGGTTAAATGTCTTCAAGTGATATTTTAGCATTTTTCAAGTCCCACATCTAATCCATTAGCATGTCCTATTTACTTTTTATTCCAAAAATATTTTGAGAATCTGCATCGCTTTTTACTATCTATGTTGCTACCACTCTTATACTAACTACTGTCCTCTCTTTCTTAGATTATAGCCCCCTCAATGGTTTCTCTGCTTTACATTTGACTTTCTGTAGTGTGTTCTCAATACAGAGCCCTGAACCTATTAAAATGTAAGTCACATTATAACACTTTTTTCTCTCACAACCCTCCAGTAACTTCACATCTCTCCTAGAGTGGTCTACAGACACTGCGTGATCTGGCCCTGGTTTTTAAAATCTCATTTCCCAGTGTTTCCCTCTCTTGCCAACTGATTTTAACCACTCTGGCCTCCTGGCTTTTCCTTGAATCTGCTAAGAATAATCTCCATGTAGGGCCTTTGTACTTGCAGTTCCCTCTGCTTAGAAGGCTTTCTCCCAGATTTTCCTGCTCCTTAGCCTTTTTAAGGTTTTTCACCTACCTGTTTAAATTAGTACTGCCCCTCATGTACCTTTTATTTTTCTTCATAAAATCTATCAGCATTTGCCATCCTACATATTTTACTTGTGGGTCCTTTCCCCTTCATTAAAATGTAAGCTCATTGTTATATCTACAGCATCCAGGACAGTGCCTGGCACTCAAATATTTGTTGAATGAAGGAATGAATGATCAGTAAAGTGGTTAACCATTGAGATTGTTAAGCACTTGCTTAAGCAGGATGTAGTATGGTGGAGTTATAAGAGATGGCATATATACAATATTAATGCCTTTGTCCTTCAATTGCTTAGATACTGGAAGGATATACCCCGAAACATTAACATTAGTTGTCTTTAGTTAATGGCATTTTAAATGTCATTTTCATAATTGTTTTTCTGAATGTTTGGGAAGTAAGATTAACACCTAGCCCTGGCTGGGTGGCTCAGCTGGTTGGAGAATTGTCTCATACATCAAAAGGTTGTGGGTTTGATTCCTGGTTGGGGCACTTGCAGGAGGCACCCGATGGATGTTTCTCTTTCATATCGATGTTTTTCTCTCTTCCTTCCTTTTCTCTAAATTCAATGAAAAAAAAAAAAACCCATATATTTTCGGGTGAGGATATATATATATATGACATTAAATCATTATAGCAGTAAGAGTGTTATCACATGTCTAATAGGTAGGGACTGGATAATTTAAGAACGATCTTAAAAATAGAAGAAAAAGATTTTACTAGTACTCTGGTAACTGAGCCCTCTCCAGTGTTGCCCACTAAATTCTAACACAACAGAAAAAACTTTGTAGTGAAATTCTGTGAAGGCCTTGTTAAAAATTTCTGCTGTCTCATTTGTCAGAGTCTGTTATTTAAAATAACATTTATATCCTTAATGGTCTTTTATGTTCATACTGGTGATGACTTTTTGAGGACCTGGATTGTATCCTTTTCATCTTTGAGTACTTACTACCTAGCACAATATTTGGTATATAATGAGTACTCAATAAATGTCCCCTCACCCCAATTGATCAGTGACATATTAGTCTTTTATTGATATCTTTATTAGGAATAAAGTTTTGTTTGGATAGTAAATTTGTCAATGCTATAGATAACTTATGTGGTAATTAGGGAGTTTAGGGAGGGGAGAGAGGAAAAAAGAGAAAGAAAAAAGCTGAACAATGATAGACTGTTTTATTTGAAAAGACAAATACACACACAAAATGACAAATTTTATTTTTAAAAAATTGGTTAGTGATTCATTGGGGATTTTTCCTAGTGACATGATTTGTTCTTACTCTTGTTGAATTAGGAAAGTATTTTAGCTTTAATATTATGATAACCTAGGTGTATAAATGTCAGTGCTAATAGCTTAGTATTTTAGTCATCTACAAATTGATGCTTGTGGTATCTGGACATTTTTTTGCCTGTTCTTGTAAATAAGGTCTCAGTGATGTTTGAGGAACAGCAACTTGTGGCCAGAAAAGAAAAAAGCTCCATATTATTCAAGCTAAGCAATATAAATGGGATTCAAGAATCCCTCACCAAATAAAAATCTCCTAGAGAAAGATCTCTCAAGCCTACAAACTAAAGACCTTCAATATAATTTTAAATAAAACTTTTTATGTAAAATGAGAGCACTTTTTAGTTGATAATCAATTGACACTATTATGTAGGCTTACTAGATTTGCAAATTTACAAGTTTTTACAAGTCAGTTGGGTCCCTTCCTCAGGAAATCAGTTTAACTTTTTTTCCCTATATTGACTCAAAGAGCCTAGTTGTCCTTCAATCTTATGAATATATTTGCCTTATAATTTGACGGCATTGAGTCAACACCCTTATAGGGTTTCTAGTGTTGTAAAAGAGAAACTGTTCAATAAAGGATCACATTTGAAAAAATAGACTGTGCTGGATAAAACCAGTATTGGATATGAATACTGTGCTTTGCTTTAAAGAACCTATAAGTATTCAAGGAAATAAATGCTTGCCCCTTACTTTCAAAATGCATACTTTAGGTTTGGAAAGCAGCTGAGCTGTGTCTTTGTGAAATTAAACCATAGCTTTAAATAAATTAATGAAATATTGATATCTTTTAGCAGAAAATTAATTATGTATTTTTTGTGAACATTAATATTTATAAAAATTTCAGAACTATTCCAATTATTAAAGTAATTAAATTATTCCAGTTAAATATGCTTGGGTAAGTGCATCTTTCAATAAATCACTATGTTTAAACATTATACTAAGTAAATCTTTTTTGAGTATCATCAATTTGTCTGAAGCTATATAGATAATAAGAATTATAGCTTTCATTTTTTGAGCACTTATCAGGTGCTGGTTATTTGTACTATACGTGGATTAATCCTCAAACACTCCATAAAAGGTAGGTATATTATAAGATTCTTAGTTTTTAGATTTAGAGACTGAGACATAAAGAAATTAAGGAAATTGTCCAAGATTACACAGCTAGTCCAAGAAATTAAGGAAATTGTCTAAGCTGGGATATAATGTTGGAAAATATGTCAAACTTAAACATGTTAAGATATATTGATTGACTCTAATATTAAATATTTTCTCTATTTTTGTTTACCTTTCTAGTTGATTTGGAGCACATGCGAACAGTAAAACCTGAAAAACACTTACGGTTTTGCCAGGAAAATGGCTTTAGTAGCCACTTTGTCTCAGCAAAGACAGGAGACTCTGTAAGTAAAATAATTAACACTGAATCTTATAAGTGCGCTTTTACTTTTATTTATTAATATTCATAAGTATACTTTCTATTTAACTTTTGCAACAAAATAATGCTTATTGAAGACATAAAATAGATTAGATTAGAGATAACTTGTTTATTCTTTTTATATTACTTTTATAATTAATTTAACACATTTATGGTTATTTTAGAGTATTTTAAAATATGAGTTTTAAAAAGAATATAAATACCCATAATCTCAGCGTTCAGAGGTAACCGTTCATAACCTCATATGATTCCTTCTAGATATTCTGATCCTCACAGATGCTCATGCTACTGCCAGCAGATTGCATTTACTGAGTGCTCACTTTGTGACAGCTCCTTGCTGCTCTGATTATCTTTGTTTTATGCATGAGTCTTAGCCAGGCTATGTAATGGGGTCTAGGTCACACAGGTAATAAGTGGTAGGAGATAGAATTTGTAAAACCTAAGTAGTGACACTTCAGGGCTCACCATATTAACCACATTAAATATTTATTTTAAAGAATTAAGATCATAATGTAGAAATAATTTTGTGTTATACTTCTTTATTTAATATGTGATCTGTAGAAAATTTTACCATGTCATTTAATACTACTAAATAGATTTAATAATCCATTAAATAACTATTAAAAATTTATTCAACCAAATCCCTGTTGTTGGAGATATAGGTTATTTTCAAGTTTTGACTTAATACTTTAATATAAAACTTTGTCCATAAGCTTTGAAGTTTGATTTCCTTTTTTTAAAAAAATAATTTTTATTACAGTCAATGTTAAATTAGTTTCAGGTATACAGCAATAGTGGTTCGACATTTATGTAACTTACAAAATGATCCCCCTGTTTATTTCCTTTACATAGATTCCTTGAAAAGGAATTGAAACATATTGCCAAACTGCTGCCAGAAATCTAAGTTAATTTATGTTAACTGAGCATTGTATGACTGCCTTACCACTATGCTCTTTTTTTTTTAACATTCAGGGTTTGTCAATTGGGTAGACAGAAGAAGGGGTATTTTGCTATTTAAATTAGAAATTCTTTGATTGCTATTAAAAAATTTCATTACCTATTTATTTTTTCTTATCTGTTTGAAATATGCTTTAAAAAAATTTTATGACCATTTTTATATCAGGGATAACAGCCATTTATCATAAGTTTTGCAAGTATTCTTTACTGCCCAGATTTTTATTAATTTTCTTGACACCTTCAACCAAGAAAAGTTTGAATTTTTTCTGTGGTTTAATCTTTTAAATGTTTTTTCTATATGTTTTTCTTTACGGTTTTTATGCTTTGGATAATTATTAAATAAAATAAAGGGTATTTAATATTTTTTGGGGTCTGACATTTAAACATTTGACCTCTTGGAACCCTTTCCCCCAAGATAATACAAACCTGGTCATATACCCACACATGCCATTTTAAAAAATGCGCTATGGGTATTCCTTGATAAGTCTATTCATGGATTGGGCTTCTACCCTTACTAATCTACCTAGGGGTCTTTTGCCATTTTAGAATTATTATAACTTCCAATATTTTAGCTTGTGTTTAAGCGCTTAGTAAATTTTGTGTACTTACGTTGAACCATGAAGAAAAATTTCCATTGTTCTCTTTTTAAATGCAACTTTGAAATGGTTTGGTGAAATCACTTTAAGAATTATTGGTCATTTCCAACTTCAGGTTATTTCCCCTCATTGCTTGAGGAGTTGAGCTCTGGGCTTACTATTCTTTTCTCTAATACTGCCTTTGTCATAATACTGAATGATTTCAATCTTTGTCCTTCACCTCACCTCAGCCACTCAGTCCCATGCATTGTCTTTACAAATCACTGCAGTCCCTCTGTTGCCAGGTATCTTTGTATCAGGCATCCTAATCCTTGACCACCATCCTGACTTTTTAGCTCACACCCTTGACAGCCCTAACCCAATCAATCTGCAGCCTCAGCAGGACCTACAAAACACTGATGCTGACCCTTTTCAGATGTCCTTAACCTCCTTTCATGTCCTCATTTTTCTCTCTCTCTAACTTAAATCTTATGACCAGTGAAAATCGTTGCCATGCCTGTAGCCTCATTTCTGTTCCCCTCTTTCACTTTATTAGACTCACTTGGCTAAGTCTGGTTTAAATCAAGCCCCCGCCTTTTTATGGCTGCACCCATGTATTTGAGCATGGTCAGGGAAGATCACAGAGGCATGCTGGAGTTGTCACTTAAAATGCACCATCACTGAGTGGGCCCTCGGTGCTGCTCAGTCATTGTGCTCCACATTTCTAGACCATTCTCTCCCATTGAAGTGATGCCTGTCCATAGCTTCTCTCCTCTCTTTAGGTCTGCAGACCTTTTTGTCTATTCTCTCAGCTGGTGACTGTGTTTCTTATTTTATAATAAATGTAAAACACAGGACGCTTCCATGTACTGCTGCTACCACATTTACTGCCACTCTTCTTCCCACCTTGCACCTGCTCCCAGATAGTCTCTTTTCTGGGGCTACTATGGGATGAGCTGTCTGTCTGTGCTCCCAGCTAGAGCTCTTTGCCTAGCAACGAACATTTGCTTAGCAATCTCTCTCTTCGTCCTGCACCATCATTTTCTCTATTTGATTATCCTATCAGCATACAGAATATTATGACTTCTCTTAACTTAAAAACAACAAAAAAAACCCTCTTGATCCTACATCTTTCTTTCCATATTACCTTCTTTCCCCCACTTTCCAGTGGAATGTTTTGAAAGAGTTATCTCTAGTTCTCTCCTCTGAGTTTCTCTTGAACAGTTCCAGTCAGACCTTTGCCCTGAATATTTCACCCAAACTTGTTATCAAGGTCACCAGTGACTTTCTTTTTGCTGAATTCAGTGGTCAGTTCTTAGTTTTCATCTTACGTGACTGACTTGTAGCATGTACAGTAGTTGCTTACTCTCTCTTTGAAATACTTTCTTCACTTAGCTTCCAGGATACTATTCTTCCTGGTTTTCCTCCTCCCTTGCTAAGTACCCTTTATCTGTCCCCTTTGCTGATTCTTTATCTCTCTGACTTCTAAATATTGGAGTGCCCTTGGGCTCAGTCTTTGTGTATTTTTTTTTTTAGAACTTATTTCCTTAGTGACCTCATCTAGTCTGTGGTTTCACCAGACTCCATGCTCAGTTGCCCACCTTAACACTCCGCTTAGGTACCTTACAGGCAGTCCCAGTCTACTTCAGGCCCAGAGCTTCTGGTATCCCTCCTCAAATTCCTCAGTCTTCCCACTGCAATAAACGGCAGTTCTTCTATCAATTGCTAAGGCCATAATTATATTGGAGTCATCCTTGACCCGTCTTTATTAACACCCCACATTTATTTATCAACAAGTCCTGTTGTCTCTACTTTAAAAAATATGTCCAGGATCTGGTGATTATTTCTTACCATCTCCACTGCTACCACTTTGTTTCAAACCTTCATCTCTTACATTAGTGTCTTTGCTGGTTTCTTTTCTTTTCTTTTTTTTTTTAGTTTGTACCCTTGATCTTCTCTAGTGAGTCACAGTATAGCGGCCAGATTGAACACATCAGGCCACTGCCATGGCTTCCATTCCACTGAGAGTAAAAGCCAAAGTCCTTCTGGTAGCCTACCAGAGCGATCTTACATGATTTGTACCTTCTTAATCTCTTGGCTTGTTTTCTTTTACAGTCCCCTCCTTCTTCCCATTCTGCCACACTAACTTCCCTGTTGATCCTTAAACACTGACCGTCAGTGAACTATAATATATGTTGCTTTTTGAAGTGTAAATGACAGAAGCCTTTCAGAGTATGTATCTCTTTTTGGTTAGAAATCAAAATTTAATTAATATAATTGTAATAAATATTCAGGAAGTAATTATGAACTGAGCAGGGTAAGAAAATGATAGTACACTTATGAAGCAAAGACAAGTTGTACCTTAAAGGTAAACTCTGGACTGGAGCTCTAGGAATCACAGTGGGCTCGGCATAAGCTAACTGGGTATGAAAAGACTATGCTGTTTATAGAAAAGTGTTTGTAGACTTTTGTTTACTGGTAATGGAGTATATTGCTCCTTTACTCTGAACTGATAAAATATAGCAAGGATTTCTAAGTTGTTTTGCTCAAAAGATGTGGAGAGTTTATTGAATTGATGAGAGCCACAAAGATTATTAAAGGTATAGGCTAAGGCCAGGTCAAAAGACCAGTGTAGAGTTGGCAGTGGAAAGCCAGATAGTATAGTATAGATTAATGTAGTCTCATTTTCTTCACATTTGAAGTTTGTTTTGCTAGTATTTTTGTTTTTTTTTAATGGGGTAGCTGTAATTATTCATCGTATGTTAAATCTTTAAAAATGTAAGTTTTTAGGGATAAATGTTTCTGTTTAGACAATTCACTGAATTTCATGAATTTTCAAATTAATGGATTTAATAATTTAAAAATATTATTACACTTAAATTTGTCTTTATTGGACAAATAAACCTATTTTTGGAATAACCTGGTACATCATATTTTTGAAATTCTTGCTGTTGATCATTGTTTAGAAAGTTCCATTTATTTGAAGGTAACTTAAGCATGCCTGTTTTAAATCATTTAAACCTATTTTTGGTATGTAGGTCTTCCTGTGTTTTCAGAAAGTTGCTGCTGAAATCCTTGGAATCAAGTTAAACAAAGCAGAAATAGAACAGTCACAGGTGATTATATTGAATTTTATATTATAAAGACTAATTTATTTCTTTTTAAAAAGACATTAATTTTCACCCCTAAATTCTTTCACATTTATGCATTCTATATACATATCCCTAAAAACTTTAGAAATAGATTGTGTGTTTGAGTCGCTGTTTTTACCAAATTATGATACCCTTGAAACTTCAGTTTGATTTTTTTGTTGGAAAAATGAGATTAAAAAATACAAATTTTATTAGTGGTCAAATAATGGGTTAAGGTGCTGTCCATATTGTTTTGTACTTAAGTTCTTCCAGGATTACTGTACGATATTTAAAAAATGTTCTCCATTTGGCATCTTCCATGTTTGCTTTGCTAAAACATTATTTTTTCAGTTTTTTAGTGTGTACTCTATACTCTGAAACATCCTCCACTATAATGATATTAATTATTGATGTTATTTCATTGTTAATTTAATAATGCTATCAATTATTGTGGATTTCTTAATTCTTTCACTAGTCCTGGACAATTTTCTGAGGTTAAGAAATATACATGAGCCCTGGACGGTTTGGCTCAGCGGTTAGAGCATCCACCTGCGGTCCGGAGAGACCCAGGTTCGGTTCCCGCTAAGGGCATGTACATCGGTTGCAGTTTGTCCCCGGCCCTGGTTGGTCGTGCGGGTGGCGGCCACTCGATGTGTCCCTTTAACATCGATGTTTCCCTCTCTCTCTCTTCCTCTCTCTCCTTCCCACTCTATCTGTACAAAAAATGGAAAAATGTCCTCAGGCGAGGATAAAAAAAAAAGAAAAAAGAAAAAAGAAATATACATGAATACCAATAAGCAAGCATTTAAAAATTCTACTATTACAGTACATCATTTTACATCTTTGATAGAATGAAAAATCAGAGCAAAAGCCTATAGTTTGAAGTTAAGCTTCAGAAGTGGTTTGCTTAGAAGCAACAAATAAATTACGTTTTCCCAGAATACCTTCTGCTCCATTTCCACCCCCCATACAGCTAAAAGGTATAATCATCTTTTCTCATCCTTAAATTTTTCTTTAATTCAGTGCTTATTTTCATGGGCACTCTGTGTGTGTGTGTGTGTGTGTGTGTGTGTGTATTTAAAAATAATTAGAACAAGTATTTATTAAAAACCGTTACGCTGATGTTGCTGTTTCTAGGACTTGATTCAAGTACTCGCGTCTCTGGAAATCTGCTACTTTTATTCTCATTATTCAAAAGACATTTATTTTAGGACTTATTATAGCCAACCGCAGTGCTAAGATATTTCGTGCCATGTAAAATTGCTCCCAGACACATACAAGCAGTTACTTGTGTTTGGCCTAGGAGGCACTGTGCAAGAAGGAGAAATCACCATTATTTGCTTGATCACATAGAACTTGGCAGACCAAGCACATTGTCTGCTTTTTAGCTTTTATTTTCAAATGGTATTTGAAAAAGGATATCTGGTTGATTAGAGAGTCCATGAATGATTATCAAATAATTATAAATGATTTATTGATTATATGTCATATGATGTGGTATAGCAGTGAGTCTGACGATGATTTAAAGGAGTTTAAGATGTAGTTCCTGCCTTCAATGAATAAACTTAGAGATAGAAGAAGGAAGATAGAGAAAGAAAGAGAAACATTGATGTGAGAAACATTGATCAGTTGCCTCTCGTACACATCCCAGCTAGGGATCAAACTGAAACCTAGGATGTGCTCTGTGCCCTGTTTAGGACTCAAACCCAACCCTTTGGTGTACAGGATGACACTCCAACCAACTAAGCCACCTGTACAGGTCCATCTAGGCATATTTTATTTGATTATTTAAAAAAAATATGTTTTTTTTCTTTATTGATTTTAGAGAGAGAGGAAGGGAGAAAGGAGAGAGAGACAGAAACACCGACGAGAAAGACCATCGATGGTCTCCTCCTGCATGCCCCCCACTGGGGATTTGGCCCACAACCTGGGCATGTGCCCCAACCGGGAATTGAACTGGCGACTTCCTGGTGCATGGGTTGACACTCAACCACTGAGCCACACTGGCCGGGCATCTAGGCATATTTTAACTGAAGAGGTTTCATATATGGTAACTACATAGAGCTCTAACCCTTCCTGTACATCCCGCCTTGTTTACTAGTGCACCCCATCTTGTTTACTATGCAGTGAGGTTTAATTCAGTCTTCAGCTTGTTGATGGTCTTTACTTTGAATCCATTCATTTGAAGATGAATTCAAACTGCTAGAACTTCCTCTCTTACATTTGTCAGAATCCTTTGTGCAGAGAAGCCTCAATCATTTTTCCTGAGCCCAGTGAATCTGGTGCCTTTGCCAATTAAAATATTGATTTCACAGTTAATATTTTGTAATGGAAACATTTTTGAAAGTTTATTTCTTAAAAAGGTGTTTCTGAGAATGTACTTGTGAGCCACATTGAGCAGTATTCCTTTTTAATTGAAATATATTTGACTTACATTGTGTAAATTTAAGTTACAGAACATGTTAATTCGATTCATTTATATATTATAATATGAATGTCATTGTAGTGATAATAAGTGCCTCTGTAATGTTAACATAATTATTCTTTTTAGTAGTTGGAATAATTAAGTTCTAGCCTCTTAGCAGGTTTGATGATTATTAACTGTACTGTGCATTATATCTCTAGGGCTTATTTACTACTTATTGTAAGTTTGTACCCTAAAACAGTATCTGTCCTGTCCTCCCACCCCTCATTCCCTGGTAGACACCATTTTAATCTCTGTTTTGGCTTTTTAAAATTTCATCTATAAGTGATAACATATCTTGTAAAGATAACAAGTACTTATCTTTCACTTAGCATAAAGTGCTTAAGGTCCATCCATGTTGTCGCAAATGGCAGAATGTTCTCCTTTTTCATGGCCGAATAATACTCCTGTATGTATGTGTGCATGTGTGCGTTTCACATTTTATCATTTTATTTATTCATTCTTTCATCTGTTGTTGGACACTTAGGTTGTTTCCATATCTTGGCTGTTATAAATAACACTGTTATGAACACAGTGGTGCATATATCTTTTTGAATTAGTGTCTTCATTTTCTGTGGATAAATACTCAGAAGTGGAACTGTTGGATCATGTGATAGTTCTATATTTAATTTTTAGAAGCATCTTCATGGTGTTTTTTATAGTGGCTGCACCATTATACATTCTCACCAACAGTGCACAAAGTTTCCCTTTTCCCTACATCCTTGCCAGGACATCTCTTGTGTTTTCTGTTTTTTATTAGAATTTATTTCATCACTACTTTAAAAGTTGTCATCTTGAGATACCAAACACTTGCTTTAGCAGTGTGGCCATTGTTAAACATATTTTTGTACTAAATCTTTGGAGGGAGCAGGTCCGAGTTACCTCTGTGTGCAGGCCCTTTAAGAGGAGCTGCCTGGGCTCCTGCAGCCTCAGCCTCCCTCAACCTCACTTTCTGCTGCTTTTACAGGCAGAAGTAATGGGGATTCTCTTCCTGGCACTGAAGCCCTGAGCTGGGGGCCTGGTGTGGGACGGGGACCCCTCTCTCCTCACGGAGGACCTTCCCAGCCGAGGTGTCCTTCTGATTTTTATCCACTGCACGTGGGTGTGGGAGCAGCCCGTCCCCTCCGCCCCTCCTACCAGTCTCCACGTGGCTGCTGCTCTAATTCCATAGTTGTAGGACTACCATTCAGCTCGGTGTCAGGTGGTTCTGAAGGATGGTTGCTCTGTAGTTTAGTTGTAATTTTGATGTGGTTGTGGGTGGAGGTGAGTACTGTGTTGACCTGCCCGCCATCGTGACCGGAAGTCTCGTGTATTCTTGATGGTAGTCATTCTAACAGGTTTGAGGGGACAGCTCACCATGGTTTTTAATTTGCATTTCCCTGATGATTAGTGATGTGGAGCCTCTTTTCCACGTACTTGTCCAAGATGTCAAGGACTAGGGGAAAAAAAGAAGTTCAGATTTTATTTTTTTGTTTATATATACAAGGTATATATTAAAATGAAAACTATATATGGAGAGATAGAGAGGAAGGGAAGAAGGAAGAAAGAAAAAGAGGGAGAAAGGAAGGGAGGGTGGGATTGGGAGAAAGAGAGGGAGAGAGAGACAGCGTTTTGCATGCAAGTGAGAAAGTCCTGCCTGGTTTCTGTGGGTTTGTGTCGTTTAAAAGATTCTTGAGGGGATTTGGTGTAATGTTTGAAAGTGTTTTTATTTATTATAGAGAAGGAGATGGTAGACTCACTAGTCATGTGGAAATTGATGCTACAGTATTTTAGTTTGTGACAGATATTTGTAATAAGGCTTTAGTCTTAGTTCCATTCACGGATTATTTAAAGAGATTCTGTTATTTTAGTTCTAACCTAGATAGTTTCTGTTTGGGAGTCATAAACTGACTTATCAGCACATCATGCAAGTTTTGTAAGGAAGAGACAGGGGAAGGGGGAGACAAGAAAGGGAAGCAGTTCATGAACACAGCAAACATGTCTGAAGGCGGCTTTGTACCAGGGGCCACATTGGAATCGGGGGGGTACAGAGACAGGTAAGTTAGGAAGTTCTCCTCCAGAAACTCCTAGCACAAATGGGGTGGAAAATATTTAAACTGTTAAGTATACTCTAGTTGCATTTCTCACAATTCCCAATTTAGTTAATAGTTTTATTTTAATTGTCTGTTCTCCTCTTTTCTCCCCAACCCCAGCTGTTCTCCTCTGAGATAGTATAAAAGTTGGGAAGGGTGGTTAACAAATGTATTAGTTTCCCAGATTGTTCAGATTTTTTTTTGTTTTCAAAGTAGTCAAACCTTTAAGAGAAAAAGTAAATTTACTACTGCTATTCCCTAGGATGTTCAGCATTCAGCTTTTTAATAATGCATTAGGTAGTCTGAAAAAAAACAAAAAACGCATTGTCTTATATCTTACTGTTCCCAGTCTGAATTGCAAGGATGTTTTGCCATATGTACTTGGTGTTCAGAGTTCTTGATAAATTCTTAATACATTCTTAAGCCTTGACAATTTCACTTGCCAGTTAATAAACTATGAATTTCTGTTTGGTTTGAACTAAATATGCATGAGTTTCTTAAAAACAAAAATTTTATGTCAGAGATACTCATTAAACTTTGTAAAAATGAATATTCCTGTGTGACCTCTGAATATTTTCATACTCTATATAAAAGATTCTAGCATAGGGCATGTGTGGGCATGCTCAAGGTTTTTAATTCAGTCTGTCTTAGCATGTAACTGTGCAACACAAATGCCTATTTAACCCCTGATCCTCGGGGCCTTCTCTTTTCTGCTTTATCTGAATACTGACCATTTTTAAGGAGCCACAGGAACTTAGATTCTTTTTACCTAAATATTAATCTTTCTATAATTTTCTCCAGTATGTTTACAAATGCACTGGGATTTCTTTCTTTTTTAATCTTAAATACTACTTGTGTCTTCCTAGCAGAACATTTTTACCCACTTTGTTTGTACTATTCTGACCCTCAGCTATTCAACATTGCTTAAGGGTTTCCATATAATATCTTACTTTTTCTATTCACCTTTTACATTTATTTTTTTTCATATAGTTTCAAAAGTAGGTGAGGCCTTAGAGACCTTGCAGATAAACCTTGTTTTTTATAGAGTAGGAGATCATGAAGACCAAAAAGGTGAGTAACTTGCCTACAGTTATGAATGTTACTGGCAGCACATACTGGTGCCTTCTGTGGGAGGCAAAGAAGAATAGCATTCTTTAAGCTCCTGCTGTGTGCAGAGCACCGTGGTTTTAGAGATACTGTATCCATGCTTTAAGTGGTAATCTGTAATCTTGTTACAATTTGGATGTATAGCAATCATGATATTCTTTAATAGTTTACACATCTGTTTTCTATGCTGGACTCTCATGCATCTCAGAAACAGAGATCATTTATTATTTATCTGAATGTCTTCAATACCTAGAATAGCCATTGGCTTTAATGAATGATAGTGACAAGTGTTTTAGTCTTCTTTATTCTGTATCCTGAGCATGACAAACTATGACTTTTGCAAAGATAAACATGTTACTACTATATGGTTTAAGATGCAATTGCAGAGTAGATCAAATTTATCTTTAGCGTCTTCCTAAGAGTCCATCTCTACTCCTTGAACCCAACTACCCCAACTCCTAGGTTGCTGTCTTGCTTCACTTCTGGATGGCTACCACTTCCAGTCCATACCCACCTGCACTCACTCTCTGACATAATAAGGGTGAAGCTGGTGTTCAAACTCAAAGCTTATTTCCTCTTAGGGCCACTTCATTATGGTCACTCCACTGACTAACAGCAGAGAGGAATAGAGTATACTTGTGGCTCCAAAAATAAAAGTTGGTGTTTTGTAAGTAACATTTTCTCTGAAAATATCAGTGAATGACTTGTAAACAAGCTGACTACTGTGAAATCATCTGCCAGGGAGTTTATGGCATGGAAATTCTGTTTTGCTACTCATAGAAAGCAAAGCCTCGGTTTTGCCTTCCAGTTCAGAAACTGTACAGAGCTTTCTGCCAAACAGCGAAGGCCTCTGAGAAAGATGTTGCCTTTTTAGTTCTTCATTAATTTGAGGAAAATTAATGGTGAATATCCAAGCCATTTATGTTAGTCAGTACTTTGACCAAATGTCTTGACCAGAGGTCAGTAACCTGGTTGTTTATAGGATAAGGTTTAAACCAACATTTTTTAGGATTAATGGGTTGCTTACTGATTATGGAAATCCCTTTTCTTTATTGTAACCCACAGTTTGTCACGAAACAATTAAGTTCAAGGAGGACAGATAATGGTGTTCAACGTCTCACTGACATACCCCCTCCCCCATACCTCATGTTGCAGTGGGTAATGCTTCTGTTGATAGCATCAGGCTGAGTGCCTAGTAAATCCCGACCTTGTCCAGAAGTTAACACTGCTTGGTGGAGAACGAGCTGAGCCCACGTGAGGCTAGTGTACTGGAGCCTCCTGCTCATTTACTCTCCGTTGTTTGTTCAGTCTTTGTAAGTGTTATCACGACCAACAGCCTTATTAACATGTTTTTCTATGTGCACTCATTATTAGATGCTGTTATGAAGCAAGAGTTCTCTGATATAAGATATTTGACATTGTAAAAAAAGCAAGGATAGTTTCAAGTCGAAACATTTGGAGAGCATGTTATCCCTGTCATACTTAGTTGTCACATGCGGTCTTTCATCCTGAGGGTTATTGCGAACAAAAACCTAGCACAGAAGCGTTGCCTCGTTATTGAGCAAACCTCTTAGATATTTGAGGGAACAGCTGTTGTGCTGAAATACTCTATGTCAGGATTTGTTCTTTAATGACAGAAAAGTGCATTTTGAAATTGTTTATTTTTATATGAAATATGGAACCATGGGCGTTAGTGTTGTGAGGAATGGGGCAGTGAGCTTCAAAAGAGGTTTTTGTCAAGTAATCAATAATATTAAATGTAAAAAATGTAAATGCCTGTGGCTTCCTCTGATATATGTATGCATCTTCTCCCTTCCTTCAAAGAGCATTAATTACTCCTTCCTCCATGTTACCACAGCATATAAGTCTACTGGTAAAGCATTTGTCTTGTATGACAATTATCTGTGTACGTGTTTCTCTTCCCATTAGGTCCACAACAACTTGTAAATACATCCTGTGTAATTTGTCTATACATTTCCATTATAGAGTGGCACATAGTAGATTCTCAAGGAGATGGAATTAATACTTTCACTATACTTTAGCATAGAAAAGCACCATAATTCTTGGTTGTTCTCTGAAATACTGGGAGTTATATATATTATGTGTAATAGTGATATCAAAACTAGAACTCACCACTTGCCTGGGAGGTTCAGTAATTATATCTGTTTTAACAATTAAATAGAATTATAAAGAATAATGTTTCTTGGATCTTTGTTTACTTTCCTTCCTTTTATATGTGTATATTCTGCTGTTTTCTCCTGTGACATGTTTGAATTTATGTGTATATTTCTTTTTCTACTTTGGTGTTTCCTTGTATTTTCAGTCATTGAACATACTTTCCGTTTTTTCTTTCTTTCTTTTCTTCTTCATCTTGTTTACGTTGTACGAAATGACAGCGTGTGGTCAGGGCAGAAATAGTGAAGTACCCGGAGGAAGACAGTCGACACTCCAGCTCTGCTCAGAGCAGGCTCTGCGCAGTGCAGTAGCGCAGGTATGAGGGCCAGTGCCGCAGGGGCGGGGCCCGGCCAGTGCTCCGGTTCCTCCTGTGCATGGACACGTTCACATGATTATTGGGCCTTATTGGAATTAATACTGCATACATCCTGTTTTAGAACTTCGAAAAATTGATCCTTTGCCAGGAGACTTACGAATTAAATAAGGAATTGGGAACAAATTAAAATAACATTTCAGTTACTTTCACACGTATTTGTCTTTATGGTTGTGTTTATTACATGTGCAGTGAAGTGGAGAATTGAGGCAGTCATTTCATTATTCATTCCTCACCATTTTTCCTGAAATAGCCTGGTAATTGAAAGAGTATTTTTAAGTTTGCCTTGAATTACCCTTCTTTGTCTGCTTGTGTGTGCAGACTAGGTAAAAGAGTTGAAAACAGTAAAGGATTTCTTTTAATTTAAATTATTACTTAGAGATGAATATTAGGACATATTGCTAAATTTATCATTTAAGATAATCCTTGAATGTAGGTTAGAGGGAAGCAAGGAAGAGTTAAAAGTATCTTTTGGTTTAAATTATTTTAAAAACATGAGTATGTGGTAATTTTCTAAACTTCTTATTCTATATTTTGTTAGTCATTATTCATAAGCCATTAGTGAGCTTTTTGGAAGTTAGGGATTTGGGAGGAAAGTTTTAAAAATTGGCAAAGTTTTAAATATTTAGTTGCTCAATACATTTCTCCTTTACATGTGACTCCTCTCTCACACACCTCTTCTCATAAACTCACGCACCGCGGTAAACACTGCAGAGAGCTACGGCTGGGGGGAGCGGCTGAAGGGAATAGTGATACATGGGACATTTTTACTTTGTAATAACGAAGTCTTGTCCTGTCAGTTCAAATATGTGAATGATTAATTTTAATTCCTTTGCTTTAAGTTATAGCCAGGGTTTACTCTTTCATATTAATTTGTCAGTTTTTTATTAGACTGGTGATAACCTCAAGCTTGTATCGTAAAACCAAGGGAGACTCAATAAGGAATTGCTACTAGGTACTTAAAAAACACACACCAAAAACCAACCCCTTCCCTGCCAACCCCAGGTCTGCATTCATTTGTCCTGGTTGATTCTTTTAATATCAGCTCCTGCTTCATTTATGATGTCTATCATCAGGGGTTCACCAAAGTTCAGGAAATAAAAATATACTGTAAGAAGCTCTTTCTAAATGTTCTGATGTCCTGATAATAACTCTTGTTTTCTTTCATGACAGAGGGTGGTGAAGGCAGACATTGTAAACTACAACCAGGAGCTCATGCCAAGAACTGCCGACCCTCCTAGAAGCTCCGTGTGTGCTGTGCAGTGAAAGCGTCGTTTCCTGTGCTGATAGCTCTGGCCGCCCTCCGCCTGGCCTGGGCGGAGCTCGGGGACTGGTGTTATCAGTGATCGTCTCTGCAGTCAGGTAGCACTTCCTCCCAGCTCGCTTCCTCGTCCCTGTTCCTTGCAGCCGCAGGCAGCTCCTCGGACTGGAAAGAATTCCACTTCGGGACCACACACTTTGAGTTCAAAATGGAAAGCCCGTTCTCTGGGCTTCGGCTGCTTCATTGAAAAAGAATAATGTTGGTTCTCTTTAATGTCCTCAGTTCTTTTTTTCCCAGATGTCAATTTTTTAGAACAAATGTGGAAACTCTCCAAGTCTCGATCACTAGTGGGGATTTTGCCACAGCGAAGTTTCATTCTCTCATCTGAACTCACATGGCTAAGTGTGCTTGAGTGCAGATACTGAAACACGAAGTACGTTCTATCCACAGACACTGAAGAAGGCAACCTTCTGTTATCTATTGTGAGAGGAAATATGTAAAGTTGTGTCTAACTGAAAATGCTTGAAATAAAGCTAATAGAAATATATTTTCCCACTTTTTAACAAAGGACCAAATTGTTTATACTGTCGCTGTAACTCACAGAGTGGCGAGTACTTGCTGGTGTATTTGATCACTGTCATGGTCATTGTGAGTTGTGGAATGCTCAGGTCGACACGTTGTGAACTTTGATCAGTGTCCAGCTGACACCCCACGAGGACTTGCTCCTGCAAACCGTGTCCAAGGATGCCCAGGACGAGTGACAACTGTGGTTGGATCATTGTGGATCAGACTTGTACCTGATGTTCAGATGTTTTTCTCCTACAAATAAATTTATTTAAATTACTTTTCTGGAGAATTTCTTTTAGCTATCTTCCTTTTAGTTACAGACAACAAAATGTATTTGGCTGTAATACTGTTGAGCATATTCTGATTCATGCCCGGACGCTGTAGCCTGGCATTTCAGGGGCTCCACGGCAGTGCACCCCCCTTTCTACCTCTGCGCAGAGAGAGCCATAGGCTCCCTCCTATGTGCCATGTGATGCTCTGCCCTCCTGTCTTTCTGCACAAGGCCCTCTGCCTGGAACTGCTCCCTCCTGCCCGAATGTCTGCTCTGCCAGCCAGCCTTTAGTTACCGGGGGCACGCTCTGTAGGTCACGGCTGTGTCGTTTCTGTGCTGAGGCACCGTGCCTGGCATGGCGGGTGCTTTGCATCTGCCACGTCGAATCAGAAACGAGTGCCACCCTCCACGGTCTCCTCATTTCCACAGCCACCAGTTCCGCCGGAGTGCAGCTTGGCCATCGCCCCTCCTGCCCGAAGCCCAGGAAGCCCGGGAAGCCCGGGCCTGCGTGTCCTCGTGTCTTACTGTTTCCTAGGTCGTGAGCTTGTGGAAAGGCATCCCCGCTGTCTGGAGTGCCCAGGCAGGGTCCCGTCACAGGGAGCTGGGAGCTTGCAAGTGTGCGCAGGAGCTTTGGGCACCTCACTTCACGGCTGTCAGGAGTCTGAGAAAACTCACCCAACGCCCTGGTGGCGAAGGAAACTGAAGTTTGGAGAGAAAAAAAGAACTTGCCAGAGGTCATGGAATCACAGAACCAGACCCCACGGGAAATCTTTCTCGAGGCCAGGGTGACATTTGTCAGGAGTGACTGAAATTTAAGCAAGTTAAAAAATTGTGACTGCTCTACTCCTTAGGCAGTGGGTTCAATCTTACTCGACGTTGATTTTCATACTTTTCACTGTATAGCAATTAAGCATCCTTTTAATAAGCCTTTCAAGGTTAGAATTCCTTCAAGGTAGTTCAATTTATCCTCTTGTCAATATCTTCCTAACATAAGCTGGTCAGTTTTCTAGGGAGGATTATATTCTCTGTATCCTTTTGGAGAGTACAAAGTTGAATCAAAGATCTCAACCCTCGAGGGCCTACTGTCTAGTAGGAGGTGTCTGATGTTGTGTTGCTGCAAAGGCTGAGATTGATTGACGTCTACTCTCAAACTAAACTGCCGAGGTTTTATAGTCAGTAAGTGGCGACGCCCCGCTCATTTTGTGTTGTGTTTACATCTGTGTGAAAACTTGAGGATTTTCAGGTGTTTTTGCAGTCCAATTATTGCGGCATTCAAAGGTACAACGTAACACACACACGACTGTACAGGTTGAGTGCTGCAGGAATACTGGAGGAGGCGGACGAACTTACACAGGGTCTGTGACCAGACCCAGCCACTTCCGTGGTAAAGGGAGAGCACTGAATGGAACTGACCAGGGACAGGAGGAGAACGGCCCTTGTAGGACTGCTCTGTGCTGGACTTTCCCAGGCACTGGTCACAGGAGCTATTTTTGTTTCTCCTTCCAGTCTATGACAGGGGTACCACTGTCCTCATTTTACACACAAGGACACCAAAGCTGAGAGGCAGTGATAATACCAAGTCACTCCTGGAGTCCGAGGTAGAGCCAGGACCCACACACACCAGGTCTGAGACTGGACGAATGAGGCTGGGTGCCGACCAGGCTGCCTTCCCTTGTGAAGACCGCTCCCCGGCCTCTCCAGGGAATCGACCAGGCCTGGGCGTTCCCTTGTGCTTTGGGAAGAGGTGATGACCAGTGCCGACCTCCACCGGCTCCCACCACTGGCCACCGAGGCCAGCAGTGTGTCCAGAGCCTGGTGGTGGTGAGTTTGCCTCTCCTCACCGAGGTGAGGACAGAAAACTGCCCCTCCTGCCCACCGTGGGCCTCGGGTTTTGTCTCAGCTGAGCTCGCAGTCACTGGGAGCCCTGGTGCCAGGGCAGCAGGCGCAGGGAGCAGCCGTGCAGCCGACGCCGGGCCGCGCTGCCTTCCGTCTCGCAGCTCCCCGTGCCTCGGGTTTTATTTTTGAAACAGAAACGTGGGACTCATGCTTATTTTACTTTGTTACCTCTCCTGCCTACAGTTTTTAATTAAAAAAATTACAAGTCTTTCCATCTAGTTTTAGGCACGTTGTCTCCTGAAGACGCATGCTATAAAGTTTCAAACTCATTGTGGTCACTTCTGCTGCTTACTGAACTTTTGAAAAACACAAAAGTTTTCAGCCAGAACTGGTCATTGGACGTTGCCTTTCAAGTGCACCCTCTATTATGTGTGGCAAACCGCCGCGGAGTGGTTTTTGGAGTGGCCCAACTGTGACGCTTTATTATTCCAGGAGGAGGTAAGCCAGGGCCCTTTAAAGTCGATCACTGAAACAATGTGACGGAGCATAATAATTTGTGTGTCATTTAAAAATAGAAAACTCCTCTGGCCATAACCCATGCTAGTGATTGCTGTACTGTTGCACATCCTGAAAAACAGTCGCAAGATTCAAAGGACATGGAGATGCAGACCCGCTGAGCACTGTGGCAGACATCTGTCTGCCGCCTGCCCAGCATCCAGGTTGCCACTTCCCCCAGCCAGTCTCCTGACTTCCTGTGGGAACCCCCCCCCCCATCTCAGCCCCTTGGGAATCTTGGGGAGCCACCAGGAGTAGATCCTCATTGGTTTAAACACATTAGGATATTATTTCCTCCTGGCCTCAGTGATGGGCTCAGAAATGAGCGAATCACTTCATTAGAGTTAGTGCAACTGGAGGGGACATTTGCTAAGGGTTCTGAAGAAGAAAATAGCTTCTCTCCCCCGGAGTCCAGACAGCTGACTCTTGGCTTGAATGAGAAAGACGCCTTGAGCAACACTGGCAGCCACCGTGAGGACCCAGGAAGAGCCGGCCCAAGCCCAGAGCTGATGCGGAGGAGCAGGGGTGAGCAGTGGAGGGAATCCGGCCCTTGGCGCTGAACCCCAGGTCAAGCCCTGCCCCGGACCTGGTTGGCAGTGTGCCTCAGCTGTTGTTTTTTATCATTTCGGCTAGTGTTGGTTTATGTTTTGTTACTTCTTATGTAAGACCATTATGTACCAGGGCTTTGCTTTCACTGAAGACAGAGGTGAACATGATCTGTGTTTTGTCCTCAAGATCTTAGTCTAGCCACATGTACAACTCAGCACAACGTCATCAGCCTGTCAGTTGCTTCAGTGAACCTATACTGTAGGAAGACGTGGCTTAGTGAGTGTGAAACATGGATTTCAGAGAACTGGAATCAGGGTCACCAGCTAACAGAAGGGCCTTCAGCTGCTCATGTAATCTTGTGCTGTGTTCATGCAAACATTCTGTTCTGAGTTGGTCTGTGCATGTAAGTCACCTGGAGAATCTTGATTCAGTGACCCAGGGTGAGGTGTGAGGTTCTGCATTATAACAAGCCTCCAAGCAATAGTAACACTGCTGGCTTTTGATGAAATTAGAGAAAATGATTTGTCCATTTTTTTTCAGAGAGCAGAATCCTAGTATTCAAGGTAGGCCTTAGGGGCCCACGGTGCCCAGGGACAGTGTCTGCCCTTAGGTTAGCAAGGCATCATGCATCCTAGGCATCGGGAGAGAATCCGTCCTGGCAGACTGTGTGGGTGCTGCCCCAACGGTTGAGGGAGGAGCCTGGACTGGGCCCTGAGGGAGACTTCCCTCCCCCCAGCACCCGGCCTGGGGAGCGAGCCTTGGGGAGCGCAGGGCCTTGGAGCTGAGCTCGAAACCTCAGGCGTTCCGTCGGTCTGGCCCTTCTCGGCATCAGCTTTCCACCCGGAGAGCTGGGAACGAGGAAAGGCAGACTATTTGTTTTAACGTTCTGCTTCCAAGTCATACTGAGTGTTCTCAAGCTCCCCCACTGTAGACTGAAGTCGACTCAGGGCCGGAGGTCAGGCTGAGGGAAGCAAATTTCGTTGGCACTGCACAGGTACCAGCTCAGTCGGACCTGCTGGAGCTGCTGACGGGGCCTCCTCGCCCTCGCTCCCCTGGGTCCACAGGTTGCTCGTGGTAGGGTTCCTAGGCCCCCTTCTCTCTTGGGCCTCGTCCCTTCCACCCGCTGCCCTCGCCCCCTGCTGCCCAGCTTGCTCCCGCCGCGCCCCCTCAGGCACCCACCGTCCCCTCGCACAGTTCTGAGATGAACTTGACCCGCGGGGCGGGTTCAGTCGCTCTTGTTCCAGACCCCTCCGTGGCTCCTCGTGTCCTTTTCCTCAGAACAGAGTGACCTTCTCAGCCTGGAGATCAGAATCCCCTCCCTGCTTCCTTCCTCCCTTCTGCGGGGTCTGCTTAGCTTCTGCTCTGGCGACGACTTCATTCTAGCAAGTGGTCCCCCACCTCGCGTCGCTGGGATTCCCTCCAGGGCAACAGGCACCCTGAGGAGGCCATTTAGAAAACCTGCTTCTTCTCTTGGCTCAAAAACCCATGGGCTGGGTGACCAGTCCCACCACCTGATGTCTGGGCTCTGTCCGGGGCCCGGGCGTGGAGAGCAGTTACCTGTGCTCTTACCAGCACCATGCTTCCTGTGGGTGCAGCGCGGGGACACAGCTGTCTGCAAACACCTTCCCGGTGGTGTGGCCGCCAGTCAGCCTGCAGGCCTCGCCTCGTGGTGTCCACACCCTGGGTCGCCCTCGCTCACACTGAGTCGGGGCTAACGGTGTGACCCATGGGGACTGCAGACAAGGTGGGGATCTCCAGGGCAAGGTTATAAGAGGCATTGCAGCCTCCACGCTGTCCCTCAAATCCCCCTCCTGAGGGAAGCCAGGCACCGTTCCACGGGGCATTATCACGTAGCAATGTGGGGAGGGCCACCTAGAGAACACATCCTGCCGACAGCATCCACGTGCCAGCCCTCTGATGGGGTCAGCTTGGAAGTGAACCCCCAGCCCCCGGCTCTGCATCTGATTGCAGCCTTACCAGATACCTCGAGCTAGATGCCCCCAGCTGAACTGCCCCCAGATTCCTGACCCACAGA